ACTGGGTCCCAGTCCGACTGGGACTGGTGCATCTCTATTCTTCATTGTCTGTTTTTTGAATCATAAGATCTATTAATTGAGCTACTGTACTGAGACGTTCAGCAGTTAAGGATACGTTTAATTGATCAATTTGTTGACGTTGAAGTGCTAAATTGATATTTAATCTGTCATTTTTTTGGTGAATTCTCGTTTCGTCGAAAATTTTTTAATAGCTACTTTCCCAGTGCTCCTGTTTCGTCGAAAAATATTTTTTTAGCGTTCTTATTTCGTCAAAAAGAAAAATTGTAAGAAAAGATGCAGAATGTAAGTAACTTATTCTAATTGCTTTGATTCTCTTGAATAGACTAAGTTTCATCAAGAAAACAAATTAACCTGTATCGTTAGATTATTCAACTAGCTAATCAGTAAAAGCACGAAACATTTATTTTTAAATCGAAATATTTGATTAGCATATTTAGTTAGTGATTATAAACAACAAAACTTCAAATTGCGGAAAAATAGAGGTTGACATGAAAGTGCAGAAATATTCAAGGATATATGAGGATATGGGTCAGTCAGTTTTTGTTGCTTACCTACACACGCAACACCAGTCATATCTCAACATTTGCTCGCTTCGGCGTGTGTAAGTTTCAACGTCCTTGTTTTTAGATATTGGTAAAATGCATCGATTTGTTCTATGTGCAATTTTTATAACGTTCTTAATACTTTTTTCAACAGATTTGCATAATCATTTTGTCGAAGTAGTCTATTAGAGACAATGAAATGATTGCGAATAAGCTAATTACGTTCTGCATCTTTTTATTCGAATTTTAATTTTCGACGAAACGAAAACATCGAGGAAAAAAGATTCGACGAAACAGGAATACGCAAAAACATTTTTTTCGACGAAACAAGAAAATCAATTAAGCTTTCGACGAAACAAGAACTAACCATTTTTTTGACGTTCAATTGTTAAATTGATATTTAATTGTTCAATTGCTTCACGAAGACCAGCGATCTCTGTTTGTAAATCAACATTATCATAAACAGCACGATTAATGGAATCATCATTGCTAGTATTCTAAAAATTATTTAAAATTAATAGATGATCCTAAGTTCTCTATCAGGGATTGCGGCATTCCAATCTCTACAAAATTCTATTAATCTAAATTTAAAACAACAGAAAAGAAATTTTTTATAGGCTACATTCTGTGACTCAGTAAATGGAGCTTTTGTCCCACCTATTGTAAAATTATGCATTATTTTAATGGAAACAAATAGGCCGTTTTAAAAAATTAAACAGCTTTCGAAAAGCTCTAATGAATGTGTACATTTGCAAAGTATATTTTAATGTACATCGTATTGGCCTAACCACATGATATTTCGAAAATTGCAAAATTACCTTGCTTAATTACTCATTTTCAAAAAGACGTCTTAGAAATGTTTCCTATGATTAAATGGAGCCTGTTTTTATGGAGTTTTGTAAACAAGGTCTTTATCTCTTTATTTGCCGTTCAGATAACCCTTGATAAAAAAAAGTCAACTACATGACAGATTCAAATATCGTAAAGAAGGCCATTTTTGTTCTAGTAAATCGTACAAGTTATTCTTCTCTCATTAATATAGATTGTGATCAAACATTTAGAAACTCTATTGAAAGAACATCTAGTGGCGATTCGAATTACGAGGAAGAAGTTTTCTACGTGTCCCTTCATAACTTGCGAAGAGCGATGCAAAAATGGTAAAAAATAGCTAGGCCAAAAGCTCCATTTACTGAATCACAGAACGTAGCCTATAAAAAATTTCTTTTCTGTTGTTTTAAATTTAGATTAATAGAATTTTGTAGAGATTGAAATGTTGCATTCCCTGATATGAAACTTATGATCATCAATTAATTCTCAGCTGGTATATTTCGAAAACAGTTAGTGTTGCGAAACTTTTGACACACTTGGTATATGAATACGGTTTAATTCTAAAGAGACTAATACATTTCAAAGGAAGACGATATTGACATAATAATTAATATAAAGGCTTGATCAATAAACAAGTGTTTAATCTAAAGAAATGAAGAGAAAAGGAGGGTATGTCTGCCGCCGATATAATAGAAGATATTCTATCAATTTTAAAATAAAATATTATTTCTACGAATAGTTCTATAATTTTTGTTACATCTGAAGGAGCTATATAAGGTAAGATTTAATTGTATATTTTAGTGGCGTAACCAGGATTTTCTCGTATGCTGGATCTTATCTTTA